TAGTAAGTTTTCTAAACCTGATCACTTTGTGGTTTGCATATCCTGTGTAAACACTGCCTGATTAGGACCATATTTCTTAACATTTCAGGGTTACAATAATTTAGCGAACACAGAACTACTGTTCCACCCTACCCAAATATTTATTCTAGCCTATGAAATCACACTGTTTCAAAAACTACCGATGCACCTACTGTTTTTCTACTTAGAAGGACAAAAATATGATTTTAAAAAAAAATCTTTGACTCTTAAAACACAAAAGTAAATCTGCCAGGTTATGGCTTCCAAATTCTCAACCCTCTCCTTCTAGGGTTGTTTTTAGGGACTGAAATTAAACCAAGACATTCTAGTATGAGTTTAATAGCCGTCTTAGGAGCTAGTTTAAATCATTTGTCAAGCACTAATATTTTAAATTTATAAACTTCAGAAGGAAGATAGCTTTTGAAGCTAAGGGGGGAAAAAAACAAAAACAAAAAACAAAACAGAGAACAGTAGTATTTTTTTGTGCAGTTGCCCAGAAATCCAGTTACAAAGTGGTCCTATTGTGTTTTATAATCTACATTTACTTTTTGGCAGAGCAGAAAGGAAAAAAAAAAAAGTCAAACTTGAAGACCTACAACAAAACTGAAAGATGGCATCATTTTTTTAATTATTATTTTTAAAATGTCCCTTTGACATTGAGATATCAACCAAGACAATATTTAACGTTTGTAAAAGACAAAGCAGGAAAAGAAGCTGCAGCTGCTCTGTGATTGTCACTGAACAGGTGTGCGCTGCTGCACCACACCAGAGAGACTGGACGCACCTCTTGGGGATGCCCACAGAAAGCCCGCGTGGGACTTGGTGTTGATGTGGGACTCATTTCCTCAGATGTGGCCAGAAAACAACAGGCGATGAGAAGAGTCCTGGTGACCCATCTGGGCAAATTCGGAGCAGACATTCCTCCAAACAGATCAATACTATCCAAGGTGCAGCTGAAAAACAGAATGGGTTTGTACCGCTATGCAAACACCAAAGCTGCTTAATCACAAGGCCAAAAGCGATGGGAGCCCGTGTTTTCCACAGTGTGTTTTTTGCCGGTGACCTCAATCCCGACCCGCAAGGCCACCCTCTCTGGGACTAGAAGTAATCGTGTACTAGGTCTTCTGGCCACTAGGGAAACCTATGGAATGCTGGCATTTCTGGCAACGGTAACTACTGCATCTGTGTTGGCGTAGCCAGACAATGACAAGGCACCAAAAAAGCCTCATTGGTGCAGCCCAGTTAGTAGAGTGGGCGCCCTAAGTATTTGATATGACGAAAAGGAAATGAAAAATAGAAACGGGTGGCCAGATATGGTGACACATACTTGTTATCCCAGCACAAAGAAGCTGGAAGCTGGAGTTAAAGTAAGTCATCCTCAGCTACATAGCAAGTTTGAGGCCAACCCAGGTTACACGAGGTCCTGTCTAGAAAGGCAAACAAAGAAAACTTACCTTTTCCCCCAGTCGTTCTGGAATGATACGGGTACAGCTTGGATTAAATTAATTTAAGTAGTTTTGTGGCACATATATATTCATACATATATGCTTGATTTGTGTGGATAAACCAAATATTTTTATTGAGATAAATACGCTTTGAACTCCCTCGTATTGTTTGTTTTCTAGTTTCTATTTAGCTTGATAAACAATATCATCCTCCTGGGGTAGCATTCATAGATAGTTTTATGATCATTTTATGCCAAATTATGTTTATATAAATGAATATTACATCTAATAAGCACATGCGAGGTATATCAGTGTTTCTATGGCTTAATTTTTTTTTAAAGGGTGAAATTGTAGTCCTTAAAGCAGTAATTCCAAAAAGTGCGAAAAAAATAAACAGAATTAAAATGTGGTCCTTATTGTGTGACAAAACTTTCCATGGAGAGATGCAACACACATATCAACTCACTCCAGATAGGGATCCCGTGACAGAACAAAGGACAGATAGCACCAAAGTCCAACCCGGTGAATCAGTGAGTTTTATTGGGGATACTTACAGGAGTATGGGTGAGGAGCACAGATGACTTAAAGACAGCTATATCACCATTGCCAACCCCTGCATGGCTGACAGTGCACAAAACAGTTCCCAAGTGACTCCAGTCTCAACCTGCCCTAGGCAGCTCTGCAAATTTCTGCTTCTTCCAGGCAGCCCATCTGATCTGAGTCTTTGGTCTTCTTTGTAGCTCAAGCAGGAAGGAGCCTAGTGAATCTGGTCATTCCGGGGGACTTCCTGAAGCTATTTTGAGTTGTTTGCCTTCCTGCTTTGCTTAAGGAGTTTCCTTTAGGATAGATGGTCTCAATCCTCACTGTTACACAGCAGTCCTACACTCACCTAGGCAAAAAAGACCGCATCGGGGATGCTGAAGAGAGTCAAGGGGGCCTAGAACACTCACTATGCACCCAGCTCTCGCACAGATTGCCTGAGTTCAGTTTCCCACCACCCACCATGGTCCATCTTCTGGACTGCTTGGAACACCTGCACACAACAGGTGTATAGGCCAAATTTATTTTTTTTAAAAAAAAACATAATCTTTTTTATAAAATGACCTATCTGCATCTGGGGGTATGAGTATAATTTGAACATCTTACAAGGTCCCAGTATTAAAAATTAAGAAAGTTCCCTCAACTTCCAAAGGCTAACTGATGATGGGAGCCCAAAAGATGTGTTTCAACTGGAAACAAATATAAAATTGTGCAATTATGTTTCAATATTAAAGACATTTAAATGCCCACTGGTAGCCATAAGATTCTGTTTTCTACCGCCTAAGATCATCTCTGCATTTAGAATGCTTATTTTTCAACTCCAGAAAAACAGTTTGATTTTTTAAAATCTAGCTAAAACAGAAGCTGGCAGGGAAAAAAAAAAAAATTATAGGATGGCGAGGAGACAAGTAGCAGTAACTGTTAGTTTTCCTTTAGGTAGGTTTCCCCGGAATGGGGTGGGGACATTTGAAGGGGAGAAAACAAACTTTTCTTCCGCTGCCACATTATAAGCATGTCTGAGTAAAGAAGGAATAATTCAACTTTGAAATTCTGCCATTAAGTGGTGGTGGCTCCTGCTCCTGCTCGGGCGACAGTTTGCTATTAATTGTTAATGTCGCCTACCATTAGAGGGCACTAAACAACTCCACATTAATGCGTTGGAGGAAAGAGAAAAGGAGACGAGGAAAGGGGAGGGAGAGTATGGGCAGAGTCCGGGGGAGGGAGGGGGGGACAGAAACCGGGAAGGGCTGGGAAAGGGAGAAGAGGGAAGTGGGAGGCGGGAGGAAAAGCCAGGAGAGGAAGGAGACAGACAAACAGGCAGGCAGACAGACACAGACAAAATGAATCTGGAAAGATTAAGAAGGATGTGGAGCCCCAGGGCCGTCTAAAGTGAGCGAAAAGCCGGCCCTCCCGGGCCACCCACTCCCCTCCCCTCTCCTCCGTCCTCACGACTGCAATTATAAAGCGAAAAGCGGCGGCGAGGTCACCGCTTCCACCAGCCTGCTGCCGCGGGTGCGCGCGGAGCTGGTGCGGCCGGCGGCCGCGGGCTTTGTGATTCATGCCCACTTTCAAAGGGGGGCTTGGGCCCGTCTGAGAGGCACCCAAACAACTGTCTTCTAATATTAGCACGGCTGTATTTCGGGATCTATTATAGTCTGTCCAGACAGATCCCATTGTAATGGGATCTTTTATTAAAAGATTAGCACTATCTCCTGCAGTTGGTGGAAAAAAATCTGTTATCGCTGAGTTATTTGCAGTTGTGGAGGGGGTGAGGAGGCTGGTGGAAGATGGGGGTGGGGGGAAGAGAGGAGGAACCCGAGGGGGGTCGGGAGGGGGGAGCGGGTGGAAGGGCGTGGGAGGGGGGGTAGAAAAGAAGGGAGAATTTGAAATCCATAGAACAAATCCCAATAACCTGAGAATGTCCAAGGATTTTTGTCTGCACGGTTCGCTGTTTGTTGCCGTTCGGGCTTCAAAGGCAAAAAGAATAGAAATTTAAGAGGCAGCTTTGAAATCAACAATATAGCATTTTCCGTGAAGTAATCGTTTTATTATAAAAGGAAATATCGCCTCCTCGGTTTCATTCAGCCGTGCCAGAAAATGTTATAAATGAGAAGACCCGCCAACTTTCGGCGAAGAATGCCAGGCATTGCACTCAATAAACTGAGGCTGCAGAAGTTCAATATCATGGTGCAATCTTTTTTTTTTTTTTTTTTTTTTTTTTTAATATGAGAGAGGGAGGGCGGGCGGGAGGGAGGGAGGGAGGCTGAGGCTCGGGACAGAAACTGGGGCGTCTCGGAGCGGGGGAGGAGGGGGCAGACCGCCTACGTCGGCGCCCCCGCTCGGGGCTGCGACTGCGGACGCCGCGAAGGGAAAGGGGAGAAAGGGAGAGGGCGACACGGCCGGGGGCGACCGGCTCCGAGGTGTTAAACATTTTTGTTTGCCTCTGACTTGAGGAGACCGAGGGCCGCGTCCCGGCAGCGTTCCTCCAGGGTGGAAGGTGTCGGGGTCGGGGCTCTTAGCAACCACTCCAGGCTGGGGGACTCGGGGAGGGGGGACGGGGAGAGCGGGGCACGGCGGCCGCAAAGTGAGACTCGCCAGAGACCCCGGGACGCAGAACGTCGCCGGGACCCGGCGCCCAGGCTCAGCGGGGAGGGTCCCGAAACTGCGCCCCGGGGCTGAGCAGCTCCGGGATCCTGCGGCATTTGAAGAATTCTCTCTGGAGCCCTGGAGCAAAGGTGCCGGGGACCAACTCCCGGGGTCCCCTGGCTCCGCCGGCCGCCTCTTCCAGCGCCGGCACTCACACGCGCGCGCACACGCGCGCACACACTCACTCACTCACACACTCGCACGCACACTCGCACGCCACCCCGGGCGCGCCGGCTGCGAGCGGCGGCGTGCAGGACTGAAGTGGATGCTCTCCAACCCCGAAGCGTCGCCCCCAGCCCCCGCCCCTGCGGCCGACCCCTCCCGCTCCTGCGCAAATAAGAACTCGGCGATTCCCCTCCTGCCTCTTTGATTTCGGGCACCTCCGACAGATAATTGGGAAGGGTTTCCAGAAGGTGGGAAATGTCACCTGATTCACACTGAACTTTTAAAAGCTCCCCACCCCCAAAGAGCCGGCACACCCTCGGTCGCGGCCGCCCTCCCACAGCCCCACACACTGGGAGACCGCCCACCGCAAACCTTAAGACCCCCGTCTAGATTTAAAGCGCGGCTGCGCCCGGCTTCTGACGTCCATTGAATCGCGCGGGCGGCCGGTGGCGAGCGCGGGGCTGCGCCAGGATCGCTGCGCCCTCCGCCGCTCGCCTCTGCGACGCGCGCCGCTCGCCCGAGCCACCCGCCGCCGCGCTCCTCGCCCTGCGCCTGCCCCAGGATGGTCTGCGCCCGGCACCAGCCCGGCGGGCTCTGCCTCCTGCTGCTGCTACTCAGCCAGTTCATGGAGGACCGCAGCGCCCAGGGTGAGTGCAGGGCATGCGCCCGGAGGCTCGGCTGGGCCACCGGCTCTACTTCTCTGTCGCCTCGACCTGGCCCGTTTCTGACCGACGCTGCTCTCGGAAGATGTTGGAACCACTCGGCTCCTCCGGGAGAAGGGAGCTGGGGGAAAGGACTAAAGCGGTGACACTTTGGAGAGCAGAGTTTAGAGTCGGGTTGTCCTCAAAAAGGAAAAGGCGTGACTGGGTGAGCTGGAACCTCAGTAGTTAGAGATAGATGCTCCAAGTTGTGGTCATAATGACTTCAGATGTTATCGCCCCTGGTTGGCTCGGGAGAAGGGCGAGCATCCATAATAGCCTGGAGACTGTAATCGACCTACTAACGAGCCCACCTATCTTCCTTCCGTATCTTTTGGTGACTTTTTTAAAAGATGACTTGGGGTGGGGGATGGGAGATACCGAATTTTCTTGGGTGGCTGGGGGGACGCGGTTTCAGAAACTTTGCCCAAACTTGGAAATGTGGGTACTGAGATTTTTTAGAGGGAGGTAGTGTTGGTGGATGCTCCTTCCACATCTCTCCCTGTGCCCCGCGGAGGGGGGGGGGGGGACGGAGAGGAAAAAAGGACAAGACAAATTATTAGCCCCAAGTGTTTTAAGTACTTTATAGTCTTCTCCGCTCTGCCTCCTTCATGTCTGCAAACTTTCTGTACAACAATTAGCAGCCCACGAGCGGCTTAGATTCTGACGTGGATTAAAGAGCAAATGTCGGAAGTTTATCTTCTAAAAATTTTTTAATGATTTATTTTATAACAATTAGTCTCCGGGCAGGATTTTTTTTTTTTTAAATAGTGATGACCCATGCGCTCCAGTTGCTCGAGTCGCTTCGGTGATTCATGAGAAGTATTCTTGTCCAAAGTCCGAACCCAGGGAAAGGGCTGGGGGGGGGGGGTATTTGCAAAGAGTTCTTGGTAGACATGAGGTAGGTGTATGTGAGCCGAGCCGGAGGAAGCCTCCCCGCTTTAGCCCTGCAGCTTTGCATGTTAGAGCCGGAAGGTTTTGTGTGTTGTAAGCTGCTCTCCCGGGCACTGGCCCTAGCCGTCTGCCCGACACTAGGCTGGGCAGCCCGCCTTTCTGATAGGGGCGCTGCCTGGGTGCCGGGACGTGGGCGCCAGGGAAAGCAGCCCTCGGAGATTTCGAAAGACCGCGGTGGCTGCGGCGGGCCGTGCTCCGGGCTGGCGGATTGCAAAACGGGCCCGACGGGCGGGTTGCGCCTCGAGGCCGCACAGGGCAGATCCAGGCCGGGCCCGGCTGCCTCTGTTTGCTTTCATTTTTTTTTTTTTCTCAAGTGTCTCCTGCTTGATCTGTTTCTGAAGATTCATATTCATTCTCCCTACTCCCCCCCCACACACTCCCTCGCTCCCTCCTTCCCTCCCTTCCGCGTCTGCTCTCTCTACTTTCTTAACCCCTGTCACAAATAATTCTCTTACCGCCTACATGAAACCAACATGCAAAAACATCCGTCGCACCCTGTTTCTGTCAGGTTCTTTAATCTGCTCTTCCAGTCGCTGCAGGTTATGAAATGGGACGAATAAAAGTAAACAGTCTAGTAAAAAGTCAATGCAAGCTGCACGTGTTGTGTCTGGGTCACTGGGAGCTGACATTGATATGGCTGAGACGCAGCGGCGGTGGCTGCTCCAGCCCACCTCCCACCTCGGTGATGGCGCTCTCTCTCCCTCTCTCTCTCTCTCTCTCTCTCTCTCTCTCTCTCTCTCTCTCTCTGCCCTCCCCCTCGATCGCTTGGTCCCCAGACCCCCCCCAGGCCTCTTTGCCGGGTTCTAGCCCCCTTCCTTCGCCTACCCCACTACTCATTCACCTCCTGATCCCCGTCTCTTCACAGCTGGGAATTGCTGGCTGCGCCAAGCCAAGAACGGCCGCTGCCAGGTCCTGTATAAGACCGAGCTCACCAAAGAGGAGTGTTGCAGCACCGGCCGTCTGAGTACCTCGTGGACCGAGGAGGATGTGAACGACAATACTCTCTTCAAGTGGATGATTTTCAACGGGGGCGCCCCCAACTGCATCCCCTGTAAAGGTGGGCTTTTCTTCCCTAGGCAGCAGGCCCTCAGTAGAGGGCGTCTTGCCCTCAGCTTTCCCACTGTCTGGCTGGGGCTTAGGACTGGCAGAGTTTTGTTCCGTTTCTCCATGTTCTCGCCTCCCCCCTCCCCCCCCCCCCGGTAGATTGAGCTAGGTGGAATCCAGCTCATGCTGTAGGCAAAACAAGGTCGGCCGAGGTCGGGTCCTCTGGCTTCTTAGCTGAATGCTGTAGTGAAGGCGGCGGCCAACCAGTGTGGTCTTTGAGGGAATTTGGATACAGGATGCAGCCTGAGGTCCCCAGCCCCCATCCCTTCCAGTCTTCCAGGAGACAGCCGGGAGGGGGGGGACCTCCATCTCTGATGCACGATTGCGCGAGGCATTTGAGACCACCACCCCACCCCATCTGGTCCCCCAACCGCCTGGCCTCGGTCTGAGTCCCTGCCTCTTTCCAACTCTTAGAAACGTGTGAGAATGTGGACTGCGGGCCTGGGAAAAAATGCCGAATGAACAAGAAGAATAAACCCCGATGCGTCTGTGCCCCAGACTGTTCCAACATCACCTGGAAGGGTCCAGTGTGTGGGCTGGATGGGAAAACCTACCGCAATGAATGTGCGCTCCTCAAGGCCAGATGTAAAGAGCAGCCGGAACTGGAAGTCCAGTACCAGGGCAAATGTAAAAGTAGGTACCACCCTTCAGCATCTTATACATTCATAGACTCTTGAAGACCCAAGAGGGATAGTTAGTACAGTCTACACAAAGAGCCAGGGATCAGTATAGTAATACCGAATAAAGGGGCTGTTTTCTAACTCCTAAAGGGTGATGAAGGAGCCAGCCCTGAGTCACAGGCCCTCTGGGAAACAGCCAGGCCCCCGAATGCCTGTTAAAATCTGGATGTTTCACTTTAGTAATTCCCTTCATAACAACATCAACTGTTTACTTTCTAAGGACCAGAAGGCGCCTACTGAAAGGTCTCCCTCCTTTTTTTTTTTTTTTTTTTTTTTTCCAGAGACTTGCCGGGATGTTCTCTGTCCGGGCAGCTCCACCTGTGTGGTGGACCAGACAAACAATGCCTACTGTGTCACCTGCAATCGCATTTGCCCAGAACCCGCCTCTTCTGAGCAGTACCTGTGTGGGAATGATGGAGTGACTTACCCTAGCGCCTGCCACCTGAGAAAGGCCACCTGTTTGCTGGGCAGATCGATTGGATTAGCCTATGAGGGAAAATGTATCAGTAGGTATTCTGGATTGAGGAAAGAAAAGAAGAAGAAAATGTATCGGTTCTAATTGGGTGGGGCTGTTCATTGAGCAAATCCAAGCCCACCTCAGTTTGGGTGAAAACTGTTTAACTAAAACGTCCCTCCTGAAGAACCACTGTCTTCTTATGCATTGACCCGGCAGCAAGAAGCAGAAAACAGCGTTCTGTCTTAGGAAACTTAGAGCTCACACAATTTTACACATTTTTTCAAAAGTGCCAGACTCGCTGCAAGTGAAAAATAATTACTTAACAGTTCCTAAAACCTGTTACCAGATTCCAGTAATTGATGGCATTTGATTTTGTTTTTTTTTTTTTTAATCACACTTGTAGGAAGCAATCACATGCATATTTAAATCAAGGATGTTGTAAAAATCAAAGAATATTGTGTTTAATGCAGTTCTATAAGATGTAAGAAGCCCCGGTGTGTGTGTGTGTGTGTGTGTGTGTGTGTGTGTGTGTGTGTGTGTGATTGCAAAGCAGTTTAATTTAACGTCTTCATTACTCCCTTTAGTAAGTGACAGTATGTATTATGTGTGTGTGTGTGTGTGTATGTGTATACACACACGTAGGGAATGAAGGGAAGGAAGGGAGACATACAGTTTGCTCATCACAGTGTCTTATATCCTAGAAGCAAAGTCCTGTGAAGACATCCAGTGTGGTGGTGGAAAAAAATGCCTGTGGGATTTCAAGGTTGGCCGAGGCCGTTGCTCTCTCTGTGATGAGCTTTGCCCTGACAGTAAGTCGGATGAGCCGGTCTGTGCCAGTGACAATGCCACTTACGCCAGCCAGTGTGCCATGAAGGAAGCTGCCTGCTCGTCTGGCGTACTGCTCGAAGTGAAGCACTCCGGATCTTGCAACTGTAAGTGTGATTTTTAACCTTGCTGCAATTTCAGGCATTTCCAGGAGAGCCCTGGGGAATTGGACAGTTTAAAAAGCACGCAGACCTCCCTGTGTAAACCCGTGTCTGTTAAAGCTAGGTAGCTGCTAAATTTCACCAGCAAGTCGCTGATCCTCAGCCAAACTCTGCAGTGTTTCCTGGCCTTCAGGGTCCGTCTGATGGCCTTCCACTGGGTTGCCTATGAAAGCCTCTCTGCAGTTGTTTGATGCTCATTCTTTCCTTCTAGTATCTTGCTTTGCTGTTGCTTCATTAACACTGGAATCTAAACTAACTGCTTCAAAAGTTTGGGGGGGGGGTTGTTTTTCTTTTCTTTCTTTCTTTTTTTTTTTTCAAAGACAGCTTTATATTATCACACCTGGGCTGCGGCTTATCGCAGTTGCCGCTACTAACTCTGGATTAAGGAGAAAAGCAGTTATACCTAGAACACAAGAGCGCTTTTTATCTGATTTCAGGAATCTGCCTGTAAAACCTGAGCCATTGATTCTTCAGAACTTTCTGCAATTTTGACTTCATAGATTATGGTGGTTTGTTTGTCGTTTGTTTTTTAAGTAAACTTACTGCATAACTGCAGATGCCAAAAAAAAAACAAAGAAAAATAAAAAGCATCACACTGCAAGTCATGTAAAAATGCACCGCTGTAATGAGGCTGTATCAGAGGGCTTTGAAAACATACACTGAGCTGCTTCTGCGCTGTTGTCATCCGTGTTTAAACAACAGCTCCCCCTATATTCATTCCCCCATCTAGCCATCTCGGAAGACACGGAGGAGGAGGAAGAGGAGGAGGACCAGGACTACAGCTTTCCTATCTCTTCCATTCTAGAGTGGTAAACGCTCCACCAGTGCTCAGTGTTGACAAAGCCTCTGGGCAAAACAGAACACAACAAAAGAAAAGGGGGGAAAAAAGATAGAAAAGAAAATAAGGAAAAGAAAAAATATATTGTCTATAATGTAAATAAGTGTATGCTTATTTATTTGGGGGGAAAAGTATACATGCAAGGACCTTGTCCTAAAGCTCTCTCCGGGCCACAATGTTACTCACTGGGCATGGAGAGATCGTCATGTTGTGGGTCTACTGGGTGAGGCCTATAGTTGAGACTTGTAGACGTTTATTTATACTGTGTCATGTTTTATAATTTATACATAAAATGTCTGATTGACTGTATGCCTTGTTTTTGAAGAAATTTATTCGTGAAAGGAAGAGCAGTTGTTATTTATTGTGAGGTCTCTTGCTTGTAAAGTAAAACCGCCCCCCCCCCCGACTCTCCCCACCCTGTAAACCATTGAAGTTCATTCCTTAGGACCCACTCACTGACCCATCTCCCTTCATTTCACTGCTGTTAGACTCTTCTCCACCTCTTAGCAAGTTTGCATGTCAGTTTCTGTCATGTTTATTTATTGGATTCTCAGCTGCCTACTCTGTACATACCTGATCCTTTCGGGTTTTGTTTACAAGGAATCTTGACTGACCAAAAGGCATTGTAACTCTGCCTCGGGTACAGAGGATATGCATCTTGGAGGAAATGTCTGCTTCTGTTCCCTTGTTCTGGGGAAAACATTGTGAGCGAGTATGAGAGCCAGGGGCATTAAAATTCTAGAAATGTGCTTTTGTGATGTTACAGATCCAAAGACGTGGTGATGGGGTGGGCGTCAGGAGACTAAAGGGAGGTGGAAGTTACACTTTCAACCTGTCACCTAGTGTTCCCTTTGAGGCAGTCGGCTGTACCTTCTCAATTAGTTCTTTTTCAACCAATGTGTCACTAAAAGTTCCGTCAAAGCTTCTATCAGTTCAAGTTTCTTGCTTTTCATAATACTTTTTTCTGATGCAATTTTATATTTTCAAACATGGCAAGTTAAATATAAATTCATTTAAATATATAGTTTTGTACTTTTCTACCATGTAAATGTGCAATGTATATAAAAGTTATAATGTGTATTTGTAAATAAACAATGAGTGAAAAAAATAAAAAAAAATAAAATTTAAAAAGCCAGTGGTCTCAGAGTCCCTGTTGAGAAGTAACCTGTTCTGGCTTTTGAGTAAAAATGCACACGATACAAGGATATAGTTACCGTTGATACTGAATGCTGAGGGCAATGGGGTAAGATACAAATCAGTCAGAGCTGAAAAGGTGGCTCAGAAGTTAATGTGTTCTCCATCCGTTTGGAGAACTTAAGCTGTACTTCCACAGCCACAAGTTAGCTATAGCTCCAAGGGATCCAGTGTCATTTAAGGGCATCTAGGGGCACACACACACACACACACACACACACACAACTTAAAAATGGTCTCTTACTCATACGTGTCAAATAAGGATTAGAAGCATGGCTCCACAGTTAGGAGTACTCCATGCTCTTACAGAGGAGCCAGGGTTAGTTCCCAGCACCATGAAGTCTTACACATGAAGTCTTACAACAGTATGTTACTTCAGTTCTATAGAATCAATCCCATCACTAGGTATGCACACATGCAGGGAAACACATAGACATATCCATTTTTTAAATTATCTTATTTGTATGGGTTTTATTATGCCTGGAGTTACAGGTCGTTCTGAGCTGTCCTGTGAATGCTGGGAACCAAACCATGGTATTCTGGTAGAGTAGCAAGTGCTCTTAACTGCTGACCCATCTCTCCAGCCTTAAATAAATGTTTAAAAACAAAGAAAGACACAAACCAGTGGAGCTTGAAAATTAAGAGACCCAGCAATTCTGGCAGGACAGGCATGTGTCAATAGCCACTGCAGATTTTCCCTGAAGCTCATCTATGCTACAGTGTCTATAAACACCTCATTACTGGTCCTAGCTATCTTGTCACAGCCAGGGGACTGCTATAGCCCGCTGAACTCATCTAAATAAAGCATGTTTCCTATTGCTTACAAGGTAACATTTGCTACAAGGTAACATTTGCTAGGCAGTTTTCTCAGTGGCTAAAACCACTTGCGCCTCTTCCCGAGGACCAGAGTACAATTCCCAGCACCCACATCAGGCCGCTCACAACTGCCCACTTCTACTCCAACTCTGAGGGATCTGATGACCTTTCTGGCCTCAGTTGGACACATGTGTGCTGTGTGCACACTCAGACACACAGGCATAAAAAAAAAAAAGTAAAATTGTTTTTAAAATAAGAAGATGATCACATACATCACAAAAGGAAAAATAGAAACAGACTGATACATATTTGACAAGCACAGTCAAAAATCCACATATGAGGCTGGGCAGTATAGTGATGGCCAGGTAAGGACACAGGTGACTCCCTCCATATTGTCTATGATCCAGTGAATAATAAGAAGAAAGGAGAAAGTCTGTCAATATTTTATGTTTTACTATACATTGAAGAGCCTCAGAATGGTATTCGGGACAGAAACCATGGTCTCTGTAATACACGGGGACACAAAAATCATCGACACGGGTTTCTAGTTCATAGTTCATTGTGTGGTTTATATTCCAAACCTAAGCGTGAAAAAAAAAAAAAAAAAAAAAAAAAGTCAGTGAATTGTAAACTGGAAAGAAATGAACAAAAAAACTAGGAGGCAAACAGTCAAAAGCAGTATCACCAGGACTAAACAAGTATGTTCCTTCAAATGCCAAGGTCCTGGTTGTTAAGTTTATCCCTTTTTCTTATGAATGACTACAAAAGTTACCATCAGAGACCACTAGCTCTCAACTAGTCACCCAAGGAGAAATTACGTAGAAACAAGGGTAGGCACTTATTTAATGATCAGGATTCTGGAAAATTTTGTCTCACAGATTCCCAGGAAAGGGGGAAATGGAGGTACAGAAATCTAAACAACAGCCATTGACCCTAAGATGGAGAGGTTAATAAATTCTCCAGGGCAGACAAGCTTCTTGCTTCCACTAGGGCCAGCCTCTCAGGAGGAAAGAGGACTGGCCAGATACAGTTTCATGCCCTTCCTGAAGTAGGTTTGTGGCTTCATCCTGGGATGCGACACACCCTTAAAGCTGTTACCAATCAGGGTAAAAAACATCACACTTCGTAAGTAGGGCTGGTAAATCGGACAGCTTGCCTTTTAAACAACATCACTTTATTTGTGTAAAATTGTATTCTTTAGTTGTCAGTATCAAGCATGCCTCTTTAAAAGACACCTGCTCTCAAGTTCCTTCTCAGAACTGCATACTTCCCACTAATCTTAATTATCTTCATCAGCATCCCCGACCACCACAAAAAGAAAAAAAAGACAAGAAGAGGCAGAAGAGAATCTTTACTGGGTGAGTACTCTACCCAGTCCTAGAAATTTCTTTTTATCTAATAATAAGGCTATTAAGAGAAACAGTTGCTAATAAGTAATTTTAATATTGGTTTGATAACATCCTCATCCTTCAGAACTGCAAACTGTGAAATGATAATGGGAAAAAAAATCAGTCAAAAGCCCAATTTTTGTCAAATGTCACTCAAGTTTAGATTTTTGTATACTATGTGAAATATGGTTCTTCGAAGATGACAGAAATTAAATCTTCTTTAATTGAAAACACTTTCAAACAAGACAACTAAAAGGCACCTGCAAGATTGTACTTAAGAGAGAAACACTGTGAGGCAGACTGGGTTAATTCACAGACCTGGGATATTCTTCAGTGAAAAGTCCGGTATCCACACTAAAAAGGCTAAAAACTGATTACTGTACTGTAATTATGTCAAAGAACAGACCTACAGTCAGGAAGGATAGAGGTACAAAATGTACATATAACCCATAAAGAGCTTTCTCTGTTAGCTGGGCGGTGATGGCACACCCTTAATCCTAGCACTTGGGAAGCAGAGGCAGGCAGATCTCTGTGAGTTCAAGACCAGCCTGGTCTACAAAAGCAAGTCCCAGGACAGGTTCCAAAACTACAGGGAAACCCTGTTTCAAAAAAAACAAAACAAAACAAAACAAAACAAAAAAACAGTATTCTCTATTTTATCATAGTCTTCATATCTAGTATACAGAAAGACAGTACAAAAAGATAAAAGAGCATATTGCCAACAGACAAGTCACAGTGAAAGTTGTAGGGATTTTAGCGCTATCATTTTTGATAGCATACATATCAAATTTCCTGTATTTTTGAAAATGAATCCAAACGAAAGCTCATAACTTTAAAAGTCATTCTCAGCAAGGAAAGGGACCCAGCAGACATCTATCTCCACATCCTCCAAGGAATCAAGTAAAATACCAAGTCACTTTTAAAAGTCCCTGGTGGCCAGCAGTGAGATGGCCCCAGGGGTTCAGGAACTTGAGGCCAAGCCTAACGAACTCAAGCTGAGTTCGATCCCTGGAACCATCTGGAAGTTACCCTCTTACCACTGCACACACACACACCGCGGGGCGAGGGTGAACCCACACACATCAACACACAAACAAGATGAATGAATGAATGCAATGAGAAACTAAACATATGACAGAAAATGACTGACGCTGGGAAACAATTGCAGTGAGTCAGTAATTCGACTTAAATGACCAATGTGGGCAGTAGAGAATTCCTGAAGAATAAATTTCCCAAATGGAGACTCAGTCGTTTCTTAAAAATGAGAGAAAAAAAAAAAAAAAAAAAAAAACCACTCCAGATACCCAACATAGCTATTCTCTCCACTGTTTGCCATGCAAAGTAAACAACTAAATAAACCTCCCTGGGTCTCGGTTTCTGTGTCTGACATCAGGATAGGGAAACTACTTACCTCACAACAACGTCACGAGAAATTAGAACACTGGAGATGTATATCTATAAAGTGTTGATTCAGTGGCCGGCACCCCAGATGGACAGTAAATAAGTTTCACCCCTGCTGCCATAATTTCTATTAGGTAAAGAAAAATACTATTGTGATTATCACCCAGTAATAATAATAAATGAGAAATGATGCCAACTGAGACCTGAAGCAGGAGCATAAATAATATTTGAAGGGAGGTAAATATAATATTTATTATATAATATTTATTTTGTACATGTTGGTATCTAACAAAGCTTAACAGTTCTAAGTTCTATAGCAAAAGCGATCTATTTTCAAAAATAGACTTAGAGGTATTATTTCCTATGAAATTTTATAAAAAGGAACTCACCCATCAACTTTTCCAAAACCCAAAACGTACCTTGTATCTTTTTTTTCACACACCCAACTTAATTAATTCTTGCTAGTAAAACAAACAAAATCAGTTGTTTTTGTTTGTTTGTTTTTTGGTTTCTTTTTTAATTTTGGTTCAGATGTCTGCATCAGAC